GTTCCCGGTTCGTCGTTCCAAGCTTAGATTTGAGATAACTGTAAGAATTCCTGCATAGCAGGGTTACCACAGCTAAGGAAGCCTTACAATTAGAACCGATGGATAAAGTCTCGAATATACAGAAAGACTCCTAGCTAGCTAATCCTTAAGCCGAGCTAGTTCTTAGTCCTGCTTCTCTAGCTCTTCCTTCTGTTTCCTGCTTCTATAGCTCTTTCACCTTTCTTCGCTTCATTCGTTGCATTCTAAACTAGGGATATGGAGCAGAAAGAGGAGAGGATGCTATCGACGGTGTCGTATACCGCTTTCTGATTAGAACAAAGAATAGGTATTTAATACATTTTACATTGTTTTTAGTTGAGCAAGAAAGAGGGAGCTATAGCTTATCTAAGGAGTGAGCTAAATACCAGCTTGCACTAATGGCTTGGTGGCATATCGAGAGCACTTTCACAAAGTGATATTCTAAAGTCATGAGATTAAGTTAGTGAGATGCTATATCAATCAGTCTCTTCTTATTATTGTATATCTTTTCAACCAACCACTGGAATATTCAATCTATCCCTATACCTAGATGGGATAAAGAAGATATTATCCTTGCTTTCAGTTACTTCTTTCATCTATCCGCTAAGGTTCTTTGTTTAAGTCACTAAAGAGAAAGGCTTTAGAGGAAATCCCATGGATATTGGGAATCATAGGAGAAAGATAAAGGATAGATGTCAGTTCTTTGAGTCGAAGAAGCAGTAGCAAAATTCGATATAGGCAAAAGAGGGAAATCCCTTCGGCCACGGTAGTTATAGGATCACCGGATAGCTGTTAAAGGCATAACGGAAGAAAGGACCAAGCTGATTCTATAGCTTCTTATTCTGTAACAGTGGAATCTAGCACAACAACTTCTTCTTTGATTCAATTACAGCTCCTTCTATGCCATCACTCCGGATTCGTACACTGATATGATCACACCAAGAAAAGAAGACGCTTAGGAATGAAGTTAGCATTCCTTGGATACGAGAGCTGGAAGAGCTAGCTTTACTTTCTCTATGGTAGCATGGTTAACGGTAGCATGTTTGCGTTAGTCGGAAAAGAGAGATAAGAAGAAATAAGGGCGAAAGAAAAAATGGGAATGAAAAATAAGAATAAATTTAGCTCGACTGCTTCTTCTTCCTCTCGTTCTTACTTCCCTCTAAAGAATAAATTGAGCTCGACTGCTTGTTCTTCCTCTCGTTCTTACTCGAGCTTTTGACTGACTTTCCTTTACCTTCCTTCTTAGTCACTACATTCTCAGGTCTGACTCTATCAATTCCTTGGACATCGACCTCCATTAGATTCAAGTAAGGGCATTGGAGCACTTTGATGTTGATGCTTGAGAAGAAGCTGTGGCATTGACCTGACTTTCAGAATAGAATGTTCCCAGCTAAGACTCTAAGAGTGATTGATGTCATACTAATAGCCCTTCTTACAACAAAAGGTATTTTGCCCGCGGGTTCAGTAACAACTCCTTCTATAGCTGCTGATTCGTGATCTCGACAAAGAGATTTCGAAAGGCTAGCAGTTGAGTTTGTTACCTATCTCAAAGAGAAGGCTTTGAATGTCATATGACTCCATCATGGATGAAAGCACCCTCTCTATTAGAGAGATAGTAGGCAGTAGCCATAACATAACCCTAGATGCCAAGAGGAGCGGTCAAAGTTGGACCGGTGTAAAGGATAAGACTAAAGGAGGTTGATTGGGGAATTTCTTCCAAAAGCATAATAAGGAGTTGTTTAAGCGAGAACTGCAGCTATACGGCTAGTAACTGCCCCAGTAAGTCCATCTCTTGGAACTTCTCTTCTATCTATTACGACTTGCTTCACCCTTCTTAGAGATTCAAGTTCTAGTTCTTTTGTTCTTTCTTCCTTGGGAGGTCTAAAGTGCTAATTGATAACGCTTTTATAGATGGTTTTTCTTGGCTTGGATGTCTTTCTATTATCCCCTAACAAAGCCTAATCTCGTATTCTGCCATCTACAGGTTATGGGGTTATGGGTCTAGAACCATTGTCGTATGGTTCCTCCTCACATGTAAAGAAATAGGTTCTCTATCTTTTGAGACTTTGTTACAGTCATCATAATCGTAGGAGGGCTTGCCCTTGATCTTCTTAGAAAGTGAGGGATTTAATAGCGAACAAGAAGCTACTTTTCACTCATTCAAAAGCTAGACCGGCTGGCTACGAAAGCAGGATTTGTTCTTAGTTTCCTGGTATTACCTTCCGAACCTTCCTTGGATTGAAACGGAGCTTGCTCTAGCTTTAGAGTGAGGGAAGATGGATGGGTTGACTTAAGGCTTGGAATGGTGGGGGATAACAGCCTTGAATTGAGCTTCGTTTGATAGTACTTTCGGAATAGGCTTTTGGCTAGATTTAGGGCAGAAGCCTGAAAGTCCTCTGATTCTTACTTTACTACTTCCTTTGATGGCATTGTTCCTTAGTCTGATTCATGGCATTCCTCATTCTTGGATTTTAGCTTCAATGCAAGGGAAAAAAGCAAGGAAAAGCCCTATATCCGGAACTCCGAGAGCTAGACTGGCTACAGGCTAAGCAGCACCGGCTGAGGTATTTGAGTTAGGGTCTCGTGGCCCCAGGCCGGCTAAGAGCAGCAATTCTTACATTTCTCTCAGAAGCTACTTTCCTACTTCCTTTCCTATTTTGAAAGAGCTTTCAAATATCATGAATGTTGAAAGTCTTCAATTAAACTAGAGCGTTAGATTCTTTTTTTAGTTCCACTAATAAAGTCGAGTCTTATAAAAGAGGCCACTCTACGAGGGAAGTCCCCGGGTCGAGTCTTTGCGAGTTCATCCCAAACAACACGAAGCCCTTCTGGTCGAGAAGATGCAGATAAAACGCTAATAGCCGGATGTCCGCTTCTATGGCATAAGCTTTAAAGAAAAGATCGATCAACACTAATCAAAATTGAATAATCAAAGAAAATTAGGTATAGGTTTGAACGGTTTTTTCAATCTTTTTGTTCCTATTCTAAGATAGCTTTCAATTGAGTGGCTACCCTTTTTGTCAGGTATGGGTCAATAGCCCCGTTCAGACAACTAGGGTCCCTCTTAGATCCTCCAGCATTTCACGGAGGCAATCATCCAGCTCATGAGGCAGATACAGATCCTCCATAATAGGGGTGGCGGTCTAAGAGTGCAGCTCTATCATATCTGCCCTTTCATTCTTGCAGTTGTCTTTAATGGAAAAGCATCTGAAAAAACGGAACACTAACCTGATCTCGAAAGAATAGTTTTACTTTTATCAAACCCTATTCCTGACTTGAACAGAAGCTTCAGCTACTTGAAGAGTGAAGAAGCAACTACCATTTTTCAATGCAATATTAAGCCAACTAGCAACCTGAGCCTATAGCTACCCGATATTTTATAATAGCAACCAAGCCAGCCGACCTATATTGAACGAAAATGCCGGGTCGCTCAGCGAAGAGAGGATAGGGTGCTCTCAGATTTGATAAGAAAGACAGGGTGAGTCATTTTGCATGTCGGAAAAAAGACAAACCATGGGCTTGAGGCATCGGTCGTCTCAGTTCTAATCCGTATATCATCAAGGAACTCACTGTTGAAATTCTGGCAACTTGTTCACTTTATTCTATTATATAATGGATCAGCCCTCATCAATAACTCTCGCCAAATCACAAGTCTTCCTATTACGTTACGCCAGAATGCACAACCACCATGGGCTTTCATTCCTATGTCGGGGCCGAGGGCATGGCAAATGAACTTTGCTTTGCACATGCATTCATCGGCAGCTGATCATGTAACGTCAAAGAAAAAGACTGCTTAATAAGATGCCTATTCGATCTAATAGTCGAACGAGGTACGAACTAGTGCAAGCTCGGGCGCGGTAACAAAGGTCCTCGCAAACCTCGTAGCGGAGAGGCGGCTTATTGCAACAATTTTAATCAGTAATCATCATCAATGCATAAGGGAATAGCACAAAGAAATGATATGCTTCGCAACCAAATGGGTCAATGACTAGATAGCCACGGTAAGATGGAAGGCCCGCGCTAATACCCTTAGAGTCGTCGGTCGAATTACCGATCAGTTAGATTCTTGAATGAGCGGAACATCTTTGAGACAAATCATCTCCACCCGGGTACATAACTTCATCCAAACCATGGATCCACGAATTGTTGCCTCGCTCTAGAAAAGAGCTTCGTAGTTGCGAGTTCTGGGCCGATGAGCGATATCCTAGGATTAGAACTATGCTTTACTACTTCCATATAGTAGTTAGATATTTTCTATTTTTTATATTTTAGGTCTTTTGGCTAGTCTTCATTTCCCTTTCTTCTCTTTTTTCAATATGGATAGCAAGAGGCCTACATGGAAGGAAGGAAAGATGGAAGGAGGGAAGGAATGAACGACAAAAGGAAAGACCTCTTTGTTTGCCTTGGAATGAATTGGTTTTTTCAACTACTGAATAGGTTTCGGGGCTTAACTTAAGTAAGTCTTCAGTACGCTTTTAGTATCCAGATCGATAGAGACTGATCCCTTTCTACATACATAACCCCACCCCACCAGATACATACATACTTTTTATCCTTTCTCCCATAAAGCTTCCTTTCCTGAATCTTATCTCTTATCTTTCTAATTTATTCTGACTACTCTCACTTTAGAAACTGGGCCTGGAGAATTCAAACTTAACGTACCCAGGTAGTATGCCTGGAACAAGAAGGTTCGTCGTACAATTTTGGCGATTACAAAAAGAAAGGAGTATATCCCTCTCCCTTAGTGTCTTTCCACTTCCATCGTTCAGGAACAGAGACTTTGCCTAATTCTTTTGAATCCCGGCCCGCTTTTTCCCCACTAACTAATTACGTTACGACCACTGAACAAACTTGGTTGACGAACATAGTTTATGCACCACTAATGTAGTGGCTTGTCGAGCATTTGACAAACTTACACCATAGATTTCAAATGGGATTTGTCCTGTGGACACACGAGCAATCCAACCCGTAGGATTTCCTTTTCATCTTCCCATTCTGACTTTTGTAGGTTCCCCGGTAATAGGGAGATCTACGAGAACTCTTACCCATATCTTACCATTTCTTCGGAATTGTCCGCTCATAGTACGCTGGAATTGCCCAATTATAACTCGATGTGCTGCTTCAATGGCTCGATATGAAAGACGACCAACTCTCAAACTTTTAGTGCCATATCTTCGAAAACCAAGTCGTGTACCATCCGGTTTGCAACCCCTACTACATCTGCCTTTGTGATATTTACTATATTTCGTACGTTTCGGATATAGCACCTCCCCTTTCTTTTTGACTATATGAAATCCACACTTTGACACCTGAGGTTTCGTAACGAGTAGATACTTCCGCAGGAGCATAATCTATTTTTCTGGTTAAATACATTACTAGATGTTTTTCCATACTTTCCGCATTCAGTTCTAGCTATTTTTGCACCTTCTAATCGACCTGAACAACATATACGGATCCCCTCCACCCCTTTTTCATTACTAATCGAATATCCTTCACTATTTGACTAAAAATGGAGCGAAATGATCTTGTTTTGTTTCTCGGTTGAAAAGATATACCTTGAGCAATCGGAGAAGCACTTTGATAAACAGATTTGATCTTGACCGACTCAATTAAGGTGTTAGTCTTTGTTCTATTAGACAAAAAAGATCGCATTTTTTTCACTTCGTTCAAATAAAAGTTGTACTCGTACGGAATTCTTCTGTTTCTCAGTATGATCTCTATCATCATCTCTATTCCCTTTATCAATTCTCCTATCCCACATAGGTCTATGAGTTTCTCTATCAATTCCATTACCTTATCCTTAGCCGTGAGGTTCCAACATTTTTTCCTGAATTTTCGTAGGAGTTGTTCCCGGACATACTAAAAAAAAGGTTCTTATACACCCCAACCCCGTCCCTTGGAAAGAAAAAGGTAGCACCGAACAAAGGAAAGAGCGAGATGGTGGTTTTTTGTTCCCGCGAAGCGAGGATGATCCGACCAGCGAATGAAGTGGGTCAACTTTTTGTCTTCGGCCTAAAACTTTTTCTCGCTGGTCGAGCTTTCGACAAAAAAAGCGAAACATATTCTCTTATCTTAGCTTCTTCCTTATGCATTAGCTCCCCCCATGGTAGATGGTTCAACCACGCCTGGTTCCACAAAATGATTGAGAACTACGACGGGGTCAAAATGCATTTGGTTCTTTGTCTTCAATAAGTATTGCATGACCGAATAATTCAAGGAAGGGTGCACCGCAGGGAGGGTCCTTTTAAGTGGATGACTCATCGGGCTGTCGGAGGGGGACTTCTTTGAGAAAAAGAAGTTGAATAACTTCGTTTTTCTGAAGGAGTCATCATTTAGGAGGGCTATGTCATTTACAAGCCCGTCGTATTTCGGATGCTTGAAGGCCCTACTGACCCGAAGTAATTTTGAAAGATTTTTCTTAATCGATGGTGATCGGTCATGGTATCCATAGCGTTGCTTCTTTTTCGGCCAAATCTGAATTTCTTTTTGCTTCTCCCGGTCATCGAGTCTGATCGACTCGACTCCTTTCCCTACCCCCCATCCTCTCACTTTGTTTTGTTCTTCTTCTGTACCGTCGCTTGAATGAAGACACCCGATCGGCCTAACTTTCCCAAATGCCCACCACTGGCCCTTCCCCTTTCCAGGTCTGGATTTTTCGCATCGTTTCTGTCATCGTGGTCGACAGGGAAGAAAGAAATGAATGAATGTTCTTTTGGGAAAATGTATAATAATACACCTACCGAGATGAAACCCAAAGGCGAGTCTAGTAGGTGGACGTATCAAACCGAAATAAGATCTAAGATTGACATCTTGATACACTGATTTACCATAATAATAAATAGAGTCAATGCGGTCTCCGCCGTGGGAAGAGCCGCTTCTTTCTTACTTGATAGGGGGCTTCCATTCACCAGCGCAAACTAAAAGTGCTCTCTGAACCGTGCTGGATAGTCACCCATCACAAGGCTCTCAAACCTAACCTGTGGTGGATCCTGGGTGACAAAGTAAAACCCTTTGATCCTTTGCCCCATACTTTGAGATGCTCCTCCTTGCCGATCAAGTAGCGACGCTGCTCTTATCTTTAAGCTGCTATCGTTCGGTTCGGATAAGTAAAGTCCCTTCGGTCAGTTCGCTCAGGTGATCCTTCCTTCTTTTCCCTAACGTTCAGAGTTCTTCTAGTTTGAGAAAGGAGCACCGGCCGAGCGCCCTGAATGAATAATAAATTTATAGCAGAGGTAATTGCAGATTCTTATTCGAACGAGTTGAAGCTAACAACATGTTGATTACACACCGGGGGTTGGTAAGAACTGAGGGGCAATGCCCATCTAACCTAAGTGGGCCTACCTGCGAAGCAACTGGTACTTGCGCGGGCGGGGGGGGGGGGGTTGGTTTCGTGAAAGGCCCTCGCAGCAGGAAGAGGCAGTTGTCATTTGAAAGAAAACACTCTTAGTTTTTATAAGGTTCCAAACCTTCGCACCCTAATGAAAAAGCTCTTTCTTTTCTATCTTATTAGTAAAGCCTAAACGTCCTTATTGAAGCCTAGCTAACGAGAAATCAAAGCGATAACGCACCTTTCCTAAGATTAGAATCAAAATAGAAGAGAAGGCCTTTCTTTCTCAAAGTAAACTTTCCCCCTTCCCTTCTCGCTTTAGAAAGATTGCAGCTAGCGTGCTAGACTAATATAATAGTAAGTCAAGGCTCTTCTCCTGTTCTACGAATCTACAACTCTCTTTACTAAGCGAGACTCCATCTATATCCCTACTAGCGATTATTCTTTCCAGGCCATTTGTTTGACAGCTTAAACTAGACCCCACTTTCGATTAGATAGGTTTCGGTCTTAATCAAGATAGGTCAAGGGCGCGTCGCAACTGTTGGTAGCTACGTAGTCTCATACGAGAGTCTAATCTCCTTGTACTGCTTTTTTCTTTTCAAAATAAAAAAGGTTGATTTAGGCTCCTTCCCTTCCCATAGCTGTGGTAGCAGGTACTACGAGCCCTCTGTCCCACGCATTTAACCGGCGTGGTTCACCAGTTCCACCGAAAACTCTTATTTGTTAAATCGGAGCATAGTGCGCTTTAGGCCGAGCGAGAAAGGTCTCTTCTTTCGTTTTGGTTTATTCACTGATCTGAAACTTAGCACTTGTTTTCTTATTCCAGGGGTGGCGGCGTTCTTGAATGAAGTCTATCCGAACCGAATTAGCACTTCTCAGATCAAGCGAGGCCTCTCCAGTAGAGCTGGGCGCCGAGGCCCTGGCTGCACTAGCGATTGGCACATAGGGGAGTATCCTGCACCTCACATTCATGATATCCACATTCAAATGTGCCCCGGAGACACGGTCGAAGCACGCCCACCCAGTGTGCTTCTTTCACAACATGCTCTGGTCCCGGCTGTCTTTCAGTGGTCTTTTAGCGTTAGAAGAAGTCGTGTCTGTCCTGGACATCTGCAACTGTCACACCCCGAAACCGAAGGCGGAAACATTCTGGGGCGGAGGACATCATGAATATCGCAACCAATGTACATAGTAAACAAAGTAAACAACCATTACATTACATATTAAAATTTACATTTGTCAAAAGTAAAGTTGTACAGTGTTATACATATGTATATATAAACAAAAGCAGACGTGTCTTCGGTGCACTCCGTCTTCAACAAAAAGGATCATCGGGTACCTGTCTAATGCGGACCTGAGAATACAAGCAGTTTGAAAATCAGCATAAAGCTTGTGAGTTCATAAGCAGTTTTGTTTTCTAAAAATGTACGAGTTTCCTTTTAGTTTCTGAAAATGTTTCGACCCAAGAAAATCCTATATTTTCTTAAAAGTAATGTTTGGTTAACTGTTATATTGTATGGTTCTGATTATGATCAATTGTTATCCCAGGAAAATCCTATGTTTTCCTAAAGTGTTTGTGACGTGTTATCGAACCTGAAAGTAACGTACAAGTATCTACCATACTTAAAGTGTCTGTGTGTGAAGTTTCCTGAAAGTTTGGTTACCTTTAAGTGTACATTAGTTTTACGATGTATATAAAACTAATAACTAAGTATAAAGTTTTCATAATCTTGATTGCGAGTTCCATAACCATACTACAGACTAGATATGACTCGAGACGTGGCCAATATCTTCTATGACTTTTGTCACCCTTGAATCTTTCGGTTCGGTTGTAGCTAGCAGCCAGGTGCGGGATAGTCAGTCCCGTAAAGATCTATACACTCAAGTCATGCTCTCCCCTTTTCGGAGATTCTGGTTACGGGGGCGGTCCTCCACTTTCATGCCTAGGAAGTGTTGCAAAGGACGTGTCTCCAATCTTAAGATTCATGAATTTAAAACTGAAATTATCGATACGGAAATCCTGTTCTATTGGTGCTTTACTCTCGTGTCTAGGGGGAGTACTAACTAGGACCTGACTAAGTTCCAATGATACCTGTCCTTCACACTCGTGTCTAGGGGTGTTTTATTAAGGACAATACAAAAGTTCTATCTACTATCCTCCACTCGCGTATCTCTGTGGGGTGTTACCGAGGACAAAACAACATATTAATTTTCCTGTTCAAAGTTTAAAGGTTATGTTTTTTAACTATTATTATGAGGAAAACCATTTGTGAAAATATAAAATACGACAATTTATAACGTTTTTCACAAATTATATGATAATGTGATCTGCAAGTTCAAACGGTTATCTGCTATGATTTGTCAGTGTAAAAAACATATGTAATATGAAACACAACACATATAAAATAAGTTTTGAGTACAAGTTTTACTTGTACTTTGCTTGTATCCCCCCCTGAAAATAGTGAAAAACATTGAAAATGGGTAGGGGTATGAACTCACCAGATGAGAAAACGCAGCGGTTTGGATGCTAAGCGTTGGTTCGGGGCTTGATAACACGCGAGGTTCATATGTAATATGAAATGGTATCGAAAGGTATCTAATTAGACTTTAAACCACTAATTAGATATGATAATACACTCCCATGAGCGAAAACACTTCAAATCAAGTGTTTGGAGTGACCCGGGTGACATCTAAGGACGTATATGGCTTGGATAATGATTTGGGACTTCAAGAGTAAACTCCTTAGAGAGTTTACAACCCTAAGATCATGCCCATATGAGTTCACGGCTGTGAACTCATGGATGATGAGGTTTAAGGTGCTAAATGGTCAAATATCACTTGGGGAATTTAGCTAGGATCAAATCTAAGGCATAGGAATGAATTTAACCCACAAATTGTAACAACCCGAAATTTCTGTATCATTTATTGTAACTATTTCGTAATGCAATTCACGCAACCAATCGTCGTTTCCAAATTCGATTGCCGATCTTCCATTTAATTAAGTCATTAACTTGTACATATTTAAAATGACTTAATGGGTGTCTTAATACATATAGAAATCATTTTAACACCCAACTTTAGTGATCAGAATAATTCTAGAAATTGTCGTATCGGGTTACGGCAACTCAATCGGGTATGACCAAAAGCCTCGTCTAACGCCGGTATCGGGTAGAATTCCACCGTGTCCAAAACTTAAACACTATATAAACGTGTTTAAGCCTCCATTTGAAGCCTTTGGTCAATTTCTCATTTAACTCTCACAACCTCTCTCCTCATCACAAAATCAAGGTCCAAAACAAAGATTTAAGGCTTGAAATCAAAGAGGTAACACCCCTAACTTGTTATTCAACCTCTTTAGCCTTCAAATTTATGTTTAAATTGTGTTTTGGGACCAAGAACATGAGTTTACGGCCAAGGAACTAGCTTGGGCCGTAAACTCCTAAAAAAATGGGGTTTTTAAGCCCCAAAACCCTTCCTAAGCATTGTTGGACATTAGATATGGCTTAATGGCTTAATGGAAAGGACTTATAACATGTAAAACATGAAATATGGGGGACAAAAGTGAGTTTACGGCCAAGACACACTCTTGGGCCGTAAACTCCACTTAAAGGGGGATTTAGTGCCTTAAAACATGTCCAAATGCCTTGAAACTCAACCAATGGCCTTGTGGTAAAATCTAGATGCACCTAAAAATAGTTTAAGGGTTTGAAACATATCAAAAGTGTCATTTATAGGAGTTTACGGCCTAGGAGCATACCCTTGGCCGTAAACTCATAAAACTATGTTAATGATGCATCAAATACACTCAAATAGCTTGTATAAATTTCTAGAATCACATGTGATTGTTTTAAGCACCAAAAACTATCTTTTTCATGGGTATAATAGAGTTTACGACCTTAGAACATACCTCTAGGCCGTAAACTCCAAAAACAAAAGTATGTAAAATGATGTTTTAAATTCATGACAAGGCTTAGAAAATTAACTAGAATCACATGTGATTGTCCTTTGAAGCACAAATAAAATTTTCCTTAGCCATAGGTGAGTTTACGGCCGTAAACTCCTATGGTATGGCCGTAAACTCCCTTTTTGGTGTTATAATTTCATACAATCAATTCCAAGGCATTTTAGAAATTCATTCCAACAATCCCCATGTCCATTTAAGCCATTTAGACACCCAAAATCACCCCCACATGAGTTTACGGCCGTAAACTCATGTATGTGTATGTTCAATGGCTGTAAACTCCTTAAAATGTTTACTTTTAGGGAGTAAACTCAAGTCCCAAGTCCCTAGTGCCATTACACGTCCGAAGATGTCACCCGGGTCACTCCAAACGCTCGTTTTGAGGTGTTTAACCTTGTTGGAGTGTAATGTTCCATATGATTAGTGAATATATCCCTAATTGTATATATATGGACATTAGTTTATTTTACATAGGGACATCGCGAGTAATCAAACCCCGAACCAACGTTTAGTATCCAAAACCGACGCATTTCCGAGTCCGGTGAGTTCATACCCCTACCCTTTTTCATTGTTTTCACTGTTTTCAGGGGGGGGGGGACACAAGCAAAGTACAAGGGAACTCTTGTACTCAAAACATGTTTTCAAATGTGTATTTCATACTTCATATGCTTTTATAACTGATTACCACAACTGATAATCATTTGAACATGCAGATCATGTAACATATATTTGTGAAATAG